AATTTATATGTTCTCCTCTGTTATTTATGGCATTGGCAAGGGCAACGGGAAATAGTAGGGTTTGAGTAAAGGAGAGGGGAACGGCCAAATGCAGCAAAATACATCGCTCCTGTCTTTCGAAGGATCGAAGGGCAACTCGGGCTGAAATGAAATTAGCCTGAACATTGAAAAGGGGTCATAAACAAAGTATAGCTATCAGGTCGAGGTGGTTGGCTTATCGCTGAAAGGGATGAGGGTACCGTTAGTTCCTCTAGTGAAGGTGAATGAAGCATGAACAGTTCACTACTTGGCTGTACTTCAGATTATAGATTCTACACCCAAGCTGCTATGAGAATAATGACCGTAATCTATACTTCTCTACCTGATCCACTATAATCTAGTAATCGCGGTACTAATCACTATAGGAATGGTTCGTGGATTTCCGAGCGCTTCGCCATTAGGCCTAATTGGATTTTTGTCTCATATTTACAACCGCCAAGCTATTTGAATGCGGCCTTGATTAATTTAGTTACTGGAAAGAAATCCGAGTGGGTCCTCCTATCCTTCTAAACAAGTCTTTTATACGATAATAGAGACTGGATGTAGGCCAGGCTCATTTCATGCCTGCCCACCGTCGTCATTCTTACGGGAGCAAAGTAAGGGTAAATTGTTTTGATTGAATTTTTTTGTAAACTGCTGTTTCTTCGCCTTCGTACGAAATCTCGCCATGTTTGCGAGTTATGAGCAGAACTAAAGATTTGAGCGATTCTCCAATCCGTACTTGTACTCGACTGGCACCGCGCTATTCATCCCTTGCACTGCCAAGACCCAAAGGTTTCTCATTTTCACCGAATTTCTCGGTAGTGCAAGAGATAAAAAGTATGGTGCCAGGGAAACACAAGTACGGCTACTAGTCCTGCGCTCCAGGCTGAAAAATCGACCATGATTTTCAAAAATTCGTCAAGCTCGTAAGAAACAGAATATTTCATAAGGCCCTGGCCTTCTTTCTATAGGCCTTCACTACCGAGACCCCGTTAACAATGAGAAAATCATAGCGTGGAAATAATTATCCTATGCAAAAAAACCCAACCCCGGAATTTGAGAAAAGGCAGGATGACGCCCAGTAGCCCGCTCACAACCGGGTAGCCCTGTCATCGAATCTTGGCTCGATACAGTGGAACCAAACGAACTTGTTTCTTAGTATGGAAACGCTGTTTTTAACAGTGATTGCCTTCCGTAGTTATCGTATAGGCCAAGTCATCACTCAAACGCCACAAGGAATCTAAAAGAAGTCCAAATCGAGAGGGTATCTTGAACATGGGTGAATGTGGGTCATCGTAAAAATCCCATCCCTTGATCCCCACTTAGAGAAGATTCAGCTGAGAAGAACCTTAAGAAACGTTTCCAATGAGAATTTCCTTGAGAGAACTAGAATAATCATTTTAGGCACAAGGAAATTGCAGTTTTCTCGAAATTTTCCGGGAAGAATCTGATTATGAGAGAATTCTGATTAATGGATAAGAGAAGGAAGGGAAGTTGGGGTGAAGCTTAGTAGTGCGCTATCACGTTCTGAGTTTTGAAGGCAAATTTCCGTCCCCATGCCCGTCTATTTCGTTAAGGTGTACCATTCATCTGGGATAGATCATTTGGTGCTCATTTGTCTAGAGGACACTGGCTTGATGATCGGCTGGACCCATATTATTTGTATGGGCCAATTATGTACTCAGACTTTCCTACGACTTCGTAGGGAAGGCGATTGTGTGGGCCAGTTAGAACGGTAATGAAAAGCGTCAAGTTCTCCATTCTTTTAATTCATTACTGACAGATCACTTGGCATCACTGACAGATTTATGAGTTCTTTGAACTCATCTTTTAAAAAAACCTGTCCACCGTGATGACGCTACATCCACTGCGAGTGTGCCGCTTCATTTGTTTTCCTCCCCATCCGGATATCCTTAAGGTTATACAGAATTTCGTGAAAGTAAGAAGCGAGTTTCATGTTCACTGAACAATTACGATTATTCCAGTATAGAATGTTTTTGGACAGAGTCGTAAATTTCGGATTTTGGCTCCACCCACCATGAGCACTTGACTACTCTTCTTTCAGAAACCTCTTTTTCCTCATTTGAAAAGGTTTTCGAATAAAGTTACGAATTTCTACAGAAAGCCCTTTCCATTCAGTGGCTTGCCCTCCCATTAGGCGTGGCTTGTGGCTTCAGCTGGGCATCTCTGGGAAACATCATATAAATAGTTGTAATAAGGTCTTGAAATAATTTTTCTCGTTGCGTTCAAGATAACACTTGCCGGTTGATTTGTTGCTGGTTTTCATAAGTTCTTATCCATATGATTAAAACTCGGGCAGCGGACTGGATTCGGACCCGTTCCTGTGCTATTCGGGCACCGTGCTCTTACGCCCTACACCACTGTTCCCTTACACTACCGAAACTTGGCATAGAAGCCATTAAGAGGGCGAGGACAAGCGAGGTCTCATTGTCAGTAGTGTATGGGATAAAAGCACGGTGTCTGGATACGTGAAGTACGGGCTGGAGCCCTGTCTGAAGCTGAAGTGTTGTTCTTAAATCGTCAACCTTAAGAGACTTCCGTATCTCGTACTACGGAGAGATAACAGCAATTAACAAAACATCAAGTCTTCATCCATAGTTGTGCGTTATGTGATTCCCAGCCGTTATGCTTAGACAATGGCGGTAGTTTTCGTCGCTCAAGCTCACCAGGCAGCTTCTTTGGCTCGGAAAAGCCTGAGGAATTCGATAGTTGCTCAAAAGTTAACCGGTTTTGCACACTACGCCCTTTTGAAGTGGTTTTACGCTTGTTAGATTGCTAAAGCTGCAGAAATCTTGGGTAGAATTCTCCTCTCGGTTGTTTACTGCAATGAAAAGAAGTGGCGTCGATGTTGTGAACCATATGGTGATTTTGCGTGTTTGCAGTATGACATTAATGGTGGTCGGACACTGATAAGTAGCTGTTCATCATTAACAATACTTTGCCGCTCATAATATACTGCCAGCTGTGAATTCGTAACAACACGATGTGTTCCATCCTATAACTACATTAAGGCACAGTTCACGTTGAAAATGAGATCCTTTGAAAATGAGGTTTCTGAGAGATCTTTTTTGGATGAATCTGTGACCCCAAGGATAGGATAAGAGACGCTGCCAGGTCGAAAAACGGCCTGCATAGGACGTAATAAGGGTCACAAAACCGGCACTCTCAAGGAGGACGAGTCCTTGAATGTTGTAGAAGCTGTAGAAGTTGCACTATTCGCACCGGGACCATTGCCTTACACGCAAGTAGTTTACTGTAGTCAGCTGTATGCATTGGCGCGCAACTTTAAACAACTCGTCCAAATATCCTTCCATCCAGTTTCTGTCGTCAGAGTCTCGTCCAATCACTAATTTTACATCATTTTTGAAGCCTTATATTCCGGTGAATACGCCGATTTCGCGTTTTCACCATCACTTTCGCTCTATCCTAAACTATACACTTCCTTTTCTATCGTGAATTGTGCCTTTTGGAGATAATCACATGAGCAAAAGTATCCGCATAACCTTTATGACGAGGGAAAGTTCGAGGATTTCTTGAACCATCTCAAAGATAACCAGTTTTGCAATCTGCGCCTTCTTGAAATTGCTTTACTCATGGTGAATTGCTAATGCTGCAGAAATGGTAGCAGATTCTTTCATTCCGTGGTTTATTGCGTTGAGATGAACACTCGTCGATGTCGTAAATTATCGGTATATATGCGTAGCCCTAAAGACACACATGAAAAATTGATCTCATATTTTCTCCAGAAATGACGAAGGCTGCCAAGAAAATCAAGACGAAGGCAGGGGTTGAAGAGGCGCCGGTGAATTGGTCGTCACAGTTTGCTCTCCTACGAATCGCCGGCATAATTATTGCAGGTATTTTACTTTTTGAATTTTGCTTTTCTGGTTAGATCTCATCACTGGGGTTGAATCGCTCTGAATATCACGGAAGCTTAGGTTACAAAATGCAGAAGAATTGAGAGCAGATCAATCCGGAAATCTCTTGACAAAGGGGTAGTTACCTACTGTTTGCCCTTGAGAAATACCCAATGGCCTCTTCTAATGTCGAGAGACCTTATCATTCTCCTGACGAATATTGATCATTATTAACAATTTTTATAATTCTTCCTCTAGAGGGTAAGAACTACTTCTGTGGTTCTTATAATTGTTGATTTCGGCATTCTTCGTAAATATGTAATGGTACATGTATATGATTGAATGCTTAACTTCACTCTATCCATCCCTCCGCGATGGATTTTCGATTGTTATTTTAGCACTGAATGGGTCGAGCTGAAGGTGATTCTACGTGATCATTTAGGGGCCGCCTTATTCAAGTCAATGTTTGAACTCTCTCCGGGAATTTTCTCAAACGTCCCAAAAAATGATCCCCATGTTACGTTTGTTCTCTTCATGAACCTGAGTGATCTATATCTATTCACTTTCTTCCTGTACGATCGCATCGAGATTGTTCAGATAAGATAAACATTTATCTAACCAAACAAAAACACGCTGGCAACTTTGCACCTATGAGAATGCCACTCAGTCTGTCCGATCTCGGCACCTTTTGGATCCTTGTTCTCATCTATGCAGCAAATTCTGCGTCCCCATGGCTCTGAAAACATGAAAAACATCGTGACCATGGGTTTATGTCGCACGACGGGGCGATCTAAGTCATTTTTGGGCTTGGGTGGTTTGATCACGGAGGTGGTACCGGCAAGATGTTGCGCCTTCAGCCACTGAGCTACCTTGTCGACAAGACTTCCTGAAGACTTACTTCTTGACTGACGAATTTCGTCCTGGTCAGTTTTCTTCAAAAATACCCAGAAGGATCGAATAAATTTATAATTTACATGTATATACATAGTAACCGGGATTGAACACAACAACATTGGCTTAGACCGAAGAAGCCCTGAGAACATGCGGGTCGAAAACGAAAACACAAACACAGGTCAGGTCAATATACAATCAATCAATAAATCAATAGCGATACTCGTATTTGTCTTTAATTGGATTGAAACATCGTGCGAAAGAGTCATTCATCCGTTGAAAAAATCGACGAATTTCCTGTAATAGACTGTTTGTGAGAGAAGTTTCCAGTTTGTTCGGATGATAGTAGTTGGAGAGTAAATTACCTCTTGTTCCGCATGACTTCTGCTCTCGATCATTGCTCGATAATAGTCTTTCAGAGAGTTTAGCAGATCGTAGGCTCGTAATCGCTCCAAAGCTCTAAAATTGCTCATTCAATACCTATTTATGGTAGTAGGCAGAGTTGGTGTTGGAAAGGATCATGGATTGATGGTCGCTCACTCCTACTTCCCGTAACGTTTGATTGGTGTATTGGTGCTAAACTCGTCTGGGAGAATAAAAGCAAGTACTTTTACATAAGTGTTCCCCTCATGAGCCAATGCACAGGTCATATACCACTCAATGGCCACTACAATTGTCGATGGAGGTAGAATCTTGCATGGGAAATTCCACAGACGTGATTCATAATTCCCAGAAGACCTTACCCTTTACTTTCTACATTGATAAACGGCGAATCTCAAGAAAAGGACTGATTACTTCAACCAAACCCAAAGGCCGCAGAAGTTTCTTCCCTACTCCTCTTCAAGGATTTGGTCTGAACCGAAGCTTTCCATATATGACGAACGTTTGTGACAGGCAAGAGACTCGCCCCTTCTACGTTTCCTACACTTCTGCTTATTACTCACTTCATTCTGAGCGAATATGGTTTATATCATGTAACGAGAATGCCAAAAGAATGAGTGTGAGCTTCGCAGCTACCGAAAACATTTAGTTGAAGTGGAAATGCCTGCATAGATCCTCAGTGGGTAGCCATATTAAACCACGACAGCGATCAATGATCAGTTGTAGTAGACGAGTGTAGAATTTAGTGCAAAGAAGGGAAGCAAAACGAAGGACCAAAATCAGTATCGAGAGAGTGGCACCCTTCTTATTTTCTTTTTATTTTTTGAAACAACTGGCCACCTACCTTTCTTCTACTTCCGTTTTGTCGGCGATTATGTCCAGCAGCGGTTTTGGAGGCGAATTTGCGCTTTTCCACAACTCGAATTCTTCCTGCGCTGATGGTGGCTGATTGCTCAGCTGCAATGTAACTTATTTTATTTCAGATATTTGATTGATTCGAAAAATGCTCTCTCGAACCCCCTATTTTAGCAGTTTTTCGAAATTTAAGAGCAAGTACATTTGTTCTGTCTTTCAAACAATAATTGGTATCAAAACGAGCAGGTTGAAATTAAGGCAACTGCGTCATCCAACGACCTTACCTGAGGCGTTTTTCCCCTACCCACTGAAGAAAAGGAGGCCTGCCACGGGTTGATACCATCGCTAACCTAAGGGATTACCCACACTTCTTTCGACAGCGTCCCAATCTCTTCGTTTAATCCTGAGTCCCCTTAGAATTATGCATTGGTGACTAGGCTCTCTGGACTACACTCTTACAAATATTAATGAGGAGGGCTGAATAGTGCTGCTGTGGATTTCTGCCGAACCCCGCTTCCCTCCCCATTCGATCGACAGCTAATTCATATCATCTAATATCAGGAGTAGTTTAGCCTCCCAAATGACCTACTCGGATTTCAATACTTCTGCGTTCGGAAATGTGCTAGCATCTCCCTTACCTCTTCTGTGATGATATTGTCGACGATGTTGAGATTGTCGGTCTCGGCGGCTTGATCCAGTTCCACTCGCATCTCGAGAGGAAGCCGCTCTACTATACGACGTATACAACGGGGTTCATCCGCGTTACATTCTGAACAATAGCGAACAATGATGGGTTGGAGGACGAGTTAATCAACATAAGTTTATAGTTACCTTGGTATTCCTTCTTTCCCATTAGCCAACTCCTTATCGCCGCCCATATCCTTGACCAGAATGACTGACGGAAGTGTTCATTGGATCGCCTGGAAAATTGGATAAGCTCACGCAGAACATCGCGATGGTCCCATTCGGACCTACCTTTCAGCGAAGTACTCGAGTATAGCGAGTTGGTCAATCTCTGGCAAAAGAGGATTCAGCTGTGTGCTCCATACGCCTCGTATAGCATTGTAAATGGAAGCATTCTGAAATGACAGCACAGTGGATGTTGTTCGGATGGTCAGATCCAGTAGAAAAAGACAGAAAGAACGTGTAGATATTTATTGCTGAATTTTATGACTCACATGGTAGGCCTCAAGTAGATCCAGATACCTTTGATTGTTGACTACGGCAAGGAACTCGGACAAATCGGTGTTGTTCTGTTCCAGTTCGGAAACCAGTTCACTAATGTCACTAACCTGAAATGTCTCATCTCCGTAGGATCATCTGTCCAAAGCAACTTATTTTGGATGTTACGCTGTCAGAAACTGGCTCATCCGTACGAGATCAATTAGTCTCGGCCTTAGACGCGTCAGATCAATGCCCGTCATAAAACGGGTGGTACAGTATGGGATAAAGAAGCAGCCTGGTTGCTGTAAACGCTTTGGAAACATTTTTCTCGAAAGGAATACTCCTGTAAATTGTCCCGGTGCAATCAGATGATCTCTAAGATGGCATTTTTCTTCAATTCAGGCCACTTCGACATCGACGTGACATATGTACACTGTACTGTCCCTCAAATAGAGAGCTAGATATTCAGAGTGTTGTGCGATGGTACTTACTGGAAGGCATTCATTTTCCGAGCAAACAATCGAACAGCCATAGCCACTATCTTGAAACCCAACCCAATAATTTGGACTCCGGCCTAGCTAGCGCTTGCTCTACCCTATCTACGACCTTCCAACCGGGGAGGAGGTGGTATAGTGGCATGTGGCGCACTTCACGCACGCATTGTCACGGGTTCGAGTCCCGGATCGATATCCGCCTAGGCTAGCCGAGCGTTCTATCCCTCCGGGGTCGGTGAATTGGTACCAGACTCGTTTGGCAGGATAAAAGAACTGGCTTGTACATCGGCTGGCCACTGCAAGTCATTGTATAGGCCACCCATCCATTCAATACGCCACTACGATTCTGAATGGAAGTCGATGCGTGGGCGCATCCCTTAGACAGAAATGAGTGACGCCCCAAGACCTTGCCCTTTATCTACAAACTTGGGAAGCCCTCGGATTAAAGACCAAAATGAAGTAATGTCCGATACCTTTTGTTTCTCGTCGATCATCCTTTTCAACTCGGCATACGTGCGTTGATTCATGTACTTCTCCAGACTTTCAGTTTCGTTTTTTGGTAACGACATCAATACCAAAAGTAGTGGAAAATAGTTATCGAATAGTTTATATTCGTAATCGTCGATGTCGGTTGCATTCGAAAGTGCTTCAGCGATATTGCCAGTAATGTTCTGCGAGAGAACACCATAGTCCAGCACTTCCAACGTAGGCGATGACATTAACAAGCATGGTAGAACGAAAAAATGAAGCCTCTCTAACATCTGAAATCAAGAAATTTCGATTAACATGTTTTGCAAGTGGGAAGCATTCCAGGCGAGGATAGTGAGTCTACGGGAAGAGCTCTGAAAATGGGAAAGCGTTCGTCTAGTGAAAGGCATGAGTTGGGAACAGAATCCAAGAAAGAGGGTTTTTCATCCGAGTATAAATTGATGTAGGTTGAAGATTGTAATCAACAAACAAGTGAGCATAGTTCAAATCGAATGGGATAAAAAGGCCCGGGTAAAATGCTTGGAAAAATCAGAATTCAAGGATGTTCTCCTGTTGGAACCGAGAACCCCCACATCCTGACGTTTTACTACGACCATAAAGGGTTCATCACAATAATGTGGGATCTCTTTTCTGGGGGAATTATCGGTTCTGATGAGCCCTTTCTAGGCCTCTATTCTCTTTTTAGGCCTTTCTATGTCCTTGCTTTTTTTTGCAGTCCCTTCAATCAAATTTTTGATGGTATCTGAGCACGTCTTTCACTCATCAAAGGGTTAGAAGGCTAGGTGGAATGTAAGCCAGTGGGTCGTCCATTGGTCTGGAATCAAGTAACCGATCATGAACAGAAGAAAGGTGGCTTCGTCCCCATAGATGAGATCCGATCTGCAGATGTGCCCCCGTCGGCTAATGCGCTCTGAATCAGCTTACGTAAACGTCAACTCGGTCACAAAACAGTGATCATAAACGGAATTGGTCTGTTCAACTTCACTGCTTGCTTGAAAGGTAGTTCGGACGTCCTTCTGTTTTGAATCATTCGGGCAAAACGATCGAGAATAAAGGAAAAACATCAAGTACACAACGGGCAATGATAAATAGGACGTCAAGTAAACAGAAGCGTAAACAGGGCAGTAAATAGACTAATATCGATCTAGTGGAAGTTAATGAGAACGTCGAGGTGCTTTCTTCTCCCGAATGAATCATTTAATCGTAAATGTCTTCCCACCGGTAGTTAAGGCAAGCCTGTTTTTCTTCGTCACTTTCTATGTAATGAAAAAAACGGGACAAAAAGTGATTGACACTCCCTGATCGCCTTAAAAACCACCCCCCCCCCCACCCCCTCCTCCTGCACGTTTCATTCGAAATTGGAAAGTTATTTTGAAAGCTTTCTTCTGAAGCTACTTCTTCGTTCGCTACGAATTGTACTGGCATTACTGTCAATCTGCGTTTTTCCGGAAAAGTCTGGTGGATCGACACTTGGAACATCCATCGGTTAGGAACCCTATAGGGGCTCCGGATTATTGCGCTATTTCAACCCTTAGTCCCTAAATTTGTTGCGAATTCACTAGTCCAGTGGCTGTTTGGTACCGTTCGTGGGATATAATTCTGTTCCGTCCATCATATCGTGATAGGAGGTGAACGGGTAGTGTAGTAGCAAATGGCGCACTATCACACACGCATGGTCTAGGGTTCATATCCTGGATCGACACTCACCGGAAATAAGTGAGCCTTCCATTCCTCCGGAGTCGGTTGAATGGTACCAGACTGGTCTGGGAGGGTAAAGCATTGAATTGACCATCGACTGACCATCGCAATTTATTGTATCGGCCACATGCGCATTCAATAGGCTACTACGATTCTGAATGGAAGTTGAAGGCGGGGGCCCAGCCTCATACGGGATTGATTGACGTCGAACACTTTATTCTTTTGTTAAGTAGACATGAGTTCTGGGGATAGACTGAACATCAAGAATTCCATGTAATCTCTAATGAGTTGGCGATTTCGCATGAATGAAGCAGACTGCGTTATGAAGGAGTTCGGCTATGAGTTCAAGGATTTCACAAATCAGCGAGAATGTGGAATTCAAAGTGTACGGCTCTACGGTAATCAAGCTGCTCTACAAGTAATGCAAGTTCGCCGTCACCTAAATTTCTCTAATCGATCAGTCCAGTCAATCCAGATTGAAGCGTTAACTGCAAAATCGATAAATCGATTGTATGAAGCAATTCTTTATCAGTAAGCCGATCCAGACATCAATTCTTAAGATCACCTAGGGAAAATAGAAAAATGATTTTGGTAGGGTAAAGCAAGAGAGAAGTTGAAGACTATCTTGGTAGGATTATGTTCAAAGGCATGGTGTGTGGACTGGGTCATTGGGGCTGAGTCACTGAGTGTCTTTAGAATTCGATTCCATCTAAAGGGTCCAGCTAAAGAGTAGTAAGAGGCGAACACAAAAAGAGGTTACTGACCTATGAAGAGCTAACGATGATGATACAATTTTTTTTGGTAAAAAGTAATTGTAACATTTGAACCTGAGATGTCTTTGAAGTCACAGAATCAGGAAAAGGAGCGACCTTTATACTAGACCACCCAAAGATGTTTTTGTTTTTCATCCAGGTTTTTTGAAAAATAGACCCCGATCAGTCTACTACAAAACGGACAATGAACTGGTTAGTTGCAGACAAGAGGACAATAGGAAAAATGAAAAAATAGGCAAAAACAAGATACAAAACCCTAGCTCTAGGATCTCCCACTCGATTGGGGGGTCTATGGCTATCGGAAACGAAAAGGAGTGCGTCGATTATAGAACAAATACGGTTTAACGTCAAATGTTTGGGCGTTTTGATTGAATGGGCATGATTGGTGAAGAAAAAGCTGAAGAACAGAGTGAGAAGGAGAGATGAATGAAGTGTGTAGTGACGAATGATGTTCGGATTCATTCAAGGAAGGCGATGACAGTGTAGCGGAGGAAAAACCGGGCCATGTTCCGAAAAGGAGGAGCGCAAGTGTTCGCCCCGTGTGAGGTGGGGGGCTGCTGCTGGTTGGTTGGGGCGAAAAACGGGGGAAGATTAGGCGCTGTGCGCGAACGAACCGTCAACGCTTGCGATGCGAGTTTTCTGCGAGTCAAAAATTGGTTCATGAAGGTTGCACGATGGAGAAAAAACGATCCTGTGTCATGAATGTGCAATTTTCGCCATGGCCTCATCGGGCATTTTGTGCGACGACGGGAGCTCGTCAAACGCGTAATTGTAGCCCCGACACTCCGGTTCCCCTACCGACATCATAAATCGCTCCCGAATCTAGCGCCAGGAGCGATCTCGAACAATAGGTCATGAGCTTATCGAGAGAGATTACCTGGCTTCTCAAGGTCCCTGAAGAAGAGCTCCCCAGGAAGGAGGACAAGCTTAAGGACATTCCTTTGCGACGGAATGGATCGAATAACACCTGCTGGGGAGTTGCTATAGTAATCCGACTGGCTAGCGGGCGTTTGTGCGCTTTTTTCACCCGGTACAATTAGATTGCACTGGCAGCCCAGCCCTCCCAGGACGTTTCTGTGGGCTGAGGGCCTCCGAGGACAACGTGCCTGCAATGAACTTGAAGAACTTCCCGTCGCTTCGGAGAGGATCGGAAATAGTAAGGTTTTAATAGGTTTGTCGATGCGCGTATGTTTGCTATGTGCATACTATTGTAACCACTTCTGAGAAAACGGGTTCCATGTCCGTCCGCTAGCAGCGAACAAGGTCAGTAGTAGAGTTGGCTGCACAACTCGTCCAAAGCGAGCTGAATTCCTTTTCTAGAGTCACTTGGAGCTCCAGCTACCAATCGGAGCTGCAAGTCGCTTCGATAAGGCAGTTACGGTGGATCGGAGTGATCGGCTGCTGACTACTATGCCGTCGTTGGAGTATAATCGTTCCGGTTTTATGGGCATCATGCAGAGCGGAGCGTATTTGTGTGCGTGTGTGTATGTGTCAGCCAATTGCGTATGGGTGACGACAAGGCACGATGGGTCGTTTGCCAAAAAAGGAATCCCGTTCCAGTGCAGATTGATGAACAGATGCGGGAAAAAGAGTTGAGATGAGAGGCAAGTCCCACTCAAAAATTGGGGCGAGGGCGTGTATGTGAAGGTTATAGTCTCGGGATCTGATCTGAAATTTCGTAGAACATTCCAGAAATCTCATTCAGTTTCCCATCCGTTTGTTCCCTTCAAATGGTTGGATCGCCGGGTTACAACCTTGGCGGCTATACGGTAATTTCTGCCGAAGGGAGTCTTATTATAAGCAGATTTGCCTTCACCGTAGTGGATGACTCAGAAAGTATGGTGCTAAATAGATAGACAACCGGAAATGGGCATTCAGAAGAGCAGGGCAGGCGACTGGGTAGAAGCGTATCTTCCCTAGCCAACCCATTATCTTTACAGTGAAAACGGTTCCCATGGAAATGGCTCTTTTCTGATGACAAAATATCTTTCATGCACATTCGCTTCAATGGACCTTACTGTGGCGTAGGCGTGATGGCTGAGAACTACCCTTCCGATGCCACCGGGTTTTGTAGATATTTGTGAAGTGCACGGCTTACACTGTCGGAGAAACATTTCCTACGAGCTGCAGTAGCTTTTTTAGTAGGACGGACTTCGATGGTTCATAGTCTTCTAGGGTTGTTAAAAGAGGATCATGTAATCATAATGGCAGAGAACAGCAAAGATAGACATGGTAAACCCGATTTTAGGGTTATATTTGACTTTGTCGACCGAAGATTGCGCGATGCGTAAACAAAACAACAGAAACAACAATGGCGTCATTTAAAAAGTTGGGTGAAGAATAATATAGTTGAAAATACGTTGACCATAAAGAGAGAGTATTGTCCAAGCGCCGGAAGGGAAGGTAGATGTTAGAAGATGGAAATTTCCTTCTATAGGGTTCGCCAGGGCTCATTTTCAACTGAAGACGAGACTGAATAGGCTCGGGAAAGGGGTCTTAAGGGGTGAAGGGGTGGGAGTTTTTCGAAGAGAATATGTTGTAAATATGTTGATCAAGAATGGAATTCTATTTTGCATCATGGGAGAAAAGATGTTTGGACAGTAAAACGTCAATGTCGTTTGCTGGAAGGACCTTTTGAGGCACAGTTTATGGGCAATGGGAATGGGAGGACGGGAAAACTGAAGCGAGGTAGGGACTTGGGAAAACTTAGGAAAGTTAGATTTGCTTGGATTCTCTGGGAAACAGTTTCCACGGTGGGTTCCATTGTGGTAATGTCGGTAAGGAAAGATTCCCTTCTTGGA